TTTTTTTTTTTTCAGTTATACGCTTCTTATTAGTGTTTTGTCCCAAAATTTTCCAGCTTTTTCTTAAACTCAAGTTTATATTGGAGTGTTTCGACACGTTACTTTAATTTATATGGTGGGTTATGAGCCTTTGTCTCAAGCTGTTGATGTTCTGCAATGTGCCATTACAGATTGGACGGAGAAATCATTTGATAGATTGAGTGTGTTGCAATTCATTTCTGTTTGAATATGGAGCTTAGTGGTGATACATAAGTGGCAGAGCCTGGAGAATGTTATTGTCTATGCTTAGTGGTGGTCCTATTAGGGTTATTTTGGAATGATTTTATGATGCCATTCGAGTTTACGAATAAGATTTTCATGAGTATCTGAGTATCTTTTTGGTTCCATTTTATTATGTTAAAAGGTTGTCTTGTGGGTTATATACTTTTTAATTTGCACACCATCCATTGTAATTTGTTTTGATATGTATTTGAGTGGTCAGTGGCTCATGACGGAGTACTTTTTACAAATAAATATCAATCGCGATTAGTATGTCCTCATCATAAGTTTTGAATTGACATAAAGTTATGTCATTTATGAGTGGTTCTGGGTCTTGGAGTGCAGTGTAACTAAAAGGGCATGTTTTTTTAGATTGATAAGTTGCTCTCCACCTTTCACCAATGGGAACGGATGCCTTCAGAGGAGAAACTGAGCCTTACAAAGGAGCTCATTGCTGCATGTGAGAGCATTGAATGGCAGGTATATTTGAGTTTATGTATGAATCATTTTTGGGAGGTAATATTCTTTAGTTCACATGCATTTCCTACGAATGCATTTAATTCATTAAACGACTAGTTGAGTTAAACCAGTTTTAACAGATTTTGAATCATAACTTATTAACCTGTCATTAAAGTCTGTTAGTAGTACATCCTCTCTGTTATCTTAGAACATTATGGTGAAGACTATGACTATCGTTCTGTCACAATATCTGCTGCAACTACTTTGTGATTGTCATTAATTTCTCAGTTACATCCTGAGATTTAAAAGTATTACGTTTAAAATTTTATTTATAGATATTTCTGTATCGCCGGTGCTGAAAGTTGATTTTCTGAAAGGAAGGTAGATGAGCTGGACAAGGCGATTGCTGTTGCATCTAAGGATCCTGCACTATATGGTATTGATGAGGTGGAGCTTGATAAAAGAAGGAAATGGACTACCAACGCCCGTAATCAGGTATTAGCTGCCATATTGACATGACAGTGGTTTATCGTATTTGTAACCATGGCGATTTCTTAATGACTGATCATTTTGTTCTTTGGTTGATTATTTTCTTGACACCTGGATTTTCTTTTGATCAATAGGTGAAAAATGTGAAACAATCAGTCGTTAGTGGGCAGGAGTTGCATGGCACGAGCACCTCTAATTTCAATGGAATGCGTCATGAACTTATGAGGCTACCTAATGCTCATCAACCTGACCAATCATATCACTACCGCGCAAAAGACAATGATGATTTTATTTCATCGGAATCTGATCGGCAGTTACTTCTGATAAGGTGTGTATTATTATTGTATAAATCTTTGTTAGAACCTCTAATCCTTTGTTTTTGTTTAAACCCTTAAGCTCATATTGAAGATTATGGATGTCGTAGGCAGTGGCAACAAAAGTATTCGTTTCCTTCTCTGTGTATAATTGTCTGATGAAGACACAGTGTTTTCTGTTCAGTGTTTAACTTAATACCTAAATTGGCTTGTGAATTTCCTTTAACCAAGCACCGTGATCTATTTCCGGCTGCAGTTGGCCATGACGGTGACTGAGAGTTTCAATATTTTTTCTTTCTGTCTTTCTCTTTCTTTTTCTTCTCAAATTTTGGCTCCGATCCATCCTCATCTATGTTGGACGCCGGACCTGTCGCTAGCAGTTTTGATTTTCTATTATCTTGTTTTGTCTTTTCCCTTTCTTTCTGCCAGAACCATCCCTTGTTTGAGTAATTTATATATTTAAAAAAAA